GAGGGTGGGGGGGGGGACGTGCCAACCGGGTGGGGAAATAATCCAGATTAGCCAGACCCGGAGCTCAGGTTCGGGTGAGGCGCAGGGTGGACCTGGGCTGGGTTTTGTGGTACTGGCCACTGCTAAGGCTGGCGGCCCCTCTCCCTCAGGGCCACTGCTGTCGGGGAACACACGGCCCCATAGGCCGGGCTCCCTGCTAAGGCCTTGCCCCTCGGCCTCGCGCCCCTCACGCAGAGGGGCCGGGAGCTGCCCACGAGCGCCACGCCTCAGCCCAGCGCGCCGGGGAGCTCAGGCTGCAACAAAAGGCGGCTGCAGTGTAAGCCAAGAGCCACGCTGCTGCCAGGAGGGGTTGGCGCCCACTGAGCTTTGTGAGGCTGGAGTGCAATGGGGCCAGGGAACGTGCCCCACATGCACCGGCCTGCCTGGGAGGTAAAGGCAACGCACGGCCGCAGCCTGTGGCAGCTCTCTACACATTCACGGCTCTGTGCACTCATTAACCCTGCTCCCTTCATGCCTTACTGAATCAATGGTGCCCGAGCCGAGGCGGTGGCCTCAGTGTTTGGCCAAGTTCAGATATGAATCGCTCCCTCTGTCTCTCTAAACTGCCCCCGCGCTTGCTGTGTTAACGGCTGGGCAGTGTTGCTCTGTGCTGTTAAACAGCTACTGCGCTCTGCCCCAGAGCTGGCTGCATGCGTGGGGGTGACTGGACATTCTGCAGGACGCGCGTGGGCGTTCTCCCGCAGCAAGGGCAGCCGGAGGGAGGCCGTGGGTTGCAGGCCCTGCTAGCTGCTCAGCTCAGTGCATTTGGGCTGGAGAAGACCCCACCTGGCAAGATCATGGTGGTCACAAGCTCAGGGGACTCCAGCAAGTTGGCGAGGGCCCCCTGGAACGTCTTGCTGGTGCCGGACTGCAGGTGACTGCAAAGCAACGTGGAGAGTTAGGACAATGGCCAAGCCAGCAGGACTGTGCCCCACCCCTGACCCAGGGGCCCTGTAAGCTGTGCGACGGCGCGGCCACGCGGCTGCTTAATGAGCCCCACCCAGGGCCACCGTGCATGGAGCTGCCTGGCGGGGGGAGGGGCCCCCCCGGGCGGGGGGCCGGGGAGCGCCTCCCCCAGCCGGTAGGGAGGGGACAGACGGGGGGGCAGAGTTGGAGGGGAAGAGAGTTTGGGGGGGTCCTGTTTCCTGGCTGGGCAGCCGGGAGAGGAGAGGACTAATCTAATTACAGCAGCTGGGTTGGCTGCAGCTTCCTGTGAGAAAGCCAACACCCTCCTTCAGTCTCCCGGGCTGCGGGGGCGGGGGGAGGGCAGATGGCATGGGGTAGGTGTGGGAAATAGGGAGTGGGTGCTGGCCTTGGTGAGGCGGGGGTGGGG